GACTACTTCTCCGCCTTCAGTTGTTTCTGTCTCCAGCAGATAGAGAACGTAGTCCTGACCAACACACACACCATTCCTTCTGTACTGCAGAGCATTTAGTTTGTGAAACTCTGAAGTAGAGGGGAGAAGGAAGGGTAGTAGAGCACCCACAGGAGGACACATCTCGAAGAACCTCAGCTACTGCACACAGTGAGTAATCCTCTCTTCTTCTTCGAGTGATGTCCGTGTGGGTGCTCCACTTTAGGTGACTTCAGAGCAGTGCTCTCCTATGGAAGGAAGGGGCTTCGGAGTTGAAGTCATGGCAGATGATAATATAGTGAGTCCAAGTAGTGCATCCGAAGTTGCATACTGTTCTAATGCATAATGTTGTATAAATGTATGGGCAAAAGCCCAGAGGGTTGCTTCTCTTCAGGTGTCTGTAACGGGAACATTGTTCAGAAATACTATCAGAGTTGATATTGCTCTGGTGGAATGTGTGCAAATCCCCGTAGGGAGTTGCAGGTTATGTTGGTGATAACACAGCTTGATGCAATCCGAAATCCTTTTGGATATGGCATCTCTGTTTGATCAGTGATTGAAACAAATAATTTCAGGGACCTGTAAAATGGTTTTGTTCTGTCTGCATAAAATGCCATGGCCCTGTGTACGTCGAGGGTATGTAGTGTGAATTCCTGATTACCTGTAGTGTAGAATGTTGGTAAGTGGATGGGTTGGTTAAGTTGGAATGGTGAGGTGATCTTAGATAAAAACTTAGGATGTGGTCTAAGAGTAATTGTATCTTCGGACAATATTGTGTAGGGTGGATCAGCCACGAGGGACCCTAATTCTCCCACCCATCTTGCCGATATAATGGCAACTAGAAAAGCCATCTTCATTGACAGGTGGAGAAGCAGCATGTCGTTAATGGTTCAAACGGGCATCTGGTGATGCCCTGGAGAACTAAGCTGAAATCCCATGGTAGAGTAGGAGCTCACACTTCAGGGTAAATGTTGTTGAGGCCTTTCAGAAAGCACTTGGTGGTAGGGTGCACAAAAATGGATATGCCGTCTAGTGGTGAAACGTTGCCTAATGTGGTTCATATGCAGAAGAAGTGAAAAAGGAAGGGTCTCCCTCAGGGAGCTCCGACAACGTATGACTCTCCATTGGTGTAGAAAGAGATTTGGGAGTCCCCGGACTACACCTTGGCCTAAGCAGTAGGGCAGCAGCTCCAACCCTCACAATAAGAAAGATGGGTAAAGGATGGGTGCAGGCTCAGTTCTGCCCATTTCAGACAAAGACTTGACCCCTGTCCTGCGAAAGGACAGTAGTCCCAGAAAAGAATTCAAAAGAAGGGCAGGAAAAGCCTCCTCAAGCACCCCATAAGACTTGGCAGTTCAAAGTTGTCCAGATTCAGTATCTGTAGAAGAGCAAAAATAAAGAAGAAATGGGACAAGCAAAGGATGACGAAGAAGAGGGTGAATGAGTCAGTCCCTGACCTTCAGTCTCAAAATTAGGACATCCTCATATTTTGAGGAGCTGCCAACCCTCTTAAGGATGATAGCATGTACCCTGGAGCCATAGAATGAATGTTTGCTACTGCCAGGGGATCCTATGCTATCTTCCTTTTATATGGCTCTGCATGTCTACATCCATGATGGAAAAGATGGACAATGAGTGGTGTAGTCTAGACAGGAAACATGACCAAAGTGCAGCATTAAATCTCACTGTCCTCTGAGAACATCAGATGTGGAAATGTTTACTGAGAACCCAAGAATGGATGCTGCCTTGTCAGGATCAGTGAAAAGGACAGCACAGACTGTGGAATGAAGTGTGGCTCTCAAGGATTTCCTTGACAGAAAAAATGAGGTGTCTCTTTGAATGGAATCTTTGTGACCTTAAGCCTTTCCCTACAATCTTCAATTTATGCAGCATATATTTCCCAGGGACAGTGAACTGGTCACAGAAACTTAGCAGATCTCCAAAGGCCAAAGATAAAAACTGTGAAGTGACCAAGACACTCCCATTTCTGGGCACCACTATCTTCAATGTGAGTTCACATGTGACATGATTCTGCCACTTTATTGAGACTACCATGGCTCCAGGAGAGAGGCCATGTAGCTAAAACAGTGGCTAGTGTTTGTTTTCTTTCTTCCAGAGCCGGGCCAACAGACTTGCCTTTTAAAGACCAGTTTCCTTTCAGTAAGACTTGGAGAAAGTCAACAGTCCTTGGCTGATTCAAAGAGCAAAGTCCTATCCCAGGAGATGCCAAGCTGAATCTTGAATTTGTGTTCAAAGAGGAGCAGATGCTGGGAGACTAGAAACTATAATCCAGTAAAAAGGAGGCATAGCCATTTACAGAAGCAGTTGGCCTTAACAATGTACAGTCTTTCATTGACAAAGGAGGAAGTAACAATTATCAGAGGAGTTCATTCAAATTTTAACCAGTCAACCTGCAGTTTCTAGAGTCTGGATATAAAGTCCCAACATTGCAGGAAAGTTGAGGAACTGTTTTCATACCTGGGCCTAAATAACATCAAAGGGGTCCTGGACAATACTACTGTATATGGATATGCAGTTGATTCAATGTGAGATCCATTGTACTACAACTCCATTCTACTACACAGTGCCACATTGGCCCAACAAAAAGGCAACTGAGGTACCCTAAACAATTTCCTAAAGATACAGCCCATTCCCCTGATCCTGGAAGATGAGAAGGACATTGGGATCTATTTCACTGTCCCAAAAACAAGGAGACTGTCCAGTTCTTGACTTGAAATGGGTTGATCCTTCCTAGGTATGTCATGTTTGTAGGATGAGAGTCTCTAAAATAATTTATTCAAGATGTGAAGATGGGCAAATTCTAATCCTCCCTGGATCTCAAGGTTGTACACCTACCTGCATGTGCCTATTCTGCAGTCTATCAAGAAGTATCTGTGACTTACTGTCCTGGACCAATGCTACCAGTCCAAACCCTCCCTTGCAGTCCTAAGAAGAAAGGATATTCTTTTAATAGCATAATTAATCACACTGTTAAACAATAATCAAATACCATTTATTTAAATATTTTTGGATGTTTTCTACATTTTCAAATATATTATTTTCAATTATAACAGTACAGTGCTCACTTTAAATTTATTTTTTATTACAAATATTTGCACTGCAAAAAACAAAAGAAATAGTATTTTTCAATTCACCTAATACAAGTACTGTAGTGCAATCTCTTTATCATGAAAGTTGAATTTAAAAATGTAGAATTATGTACAAAAAATAACTGCATTCAAAAACAAAACAAATCAAAAATTTAGAGCCTACAAGTCCATTCAGTCCTATTTCTTGTTCAGCCAATCGCTCAGACAAACAAGTTTGTTTACATTTGCAGGGTATAATGCTGCCTGCTTTTTATTCACGTCACCTGAAAGTGAGAACAGGTGTTCTCATGGCACTGTTGTAGCTAGTGTTGCAAGATATTTACATGCCTGATGCACTGAAGATTCATATGTCCCTTCATACTTCAACCACTATTCCAGAGGATATGTGTCCATGCTGATGATGAGTTCTGCTCAATAACAATCCAAAGCAGTGCGGACTGACAGATGTTCATTTTCATCATCTCAGTCTAGTGCCACCAGCAGAAGGTTGATTTTCTTTTTTGGTGGTTCGGGTTCTGTAATTTCTGCATCGGAGTGTTGCTCTTTTAAGACTTCTGAAAACATGCGCCACACCTTGTTCCTCTCAGATTTTGGAAGGCGCTTCAGATTCTTAAACCTTTGGTCAAGTGCTATAGCTATCTTTAGAAATCTCACATTGGTACCTTCTTTGCGTTTTGTGAAATCTGCAGTGAAAGTGTTCTTAAAATGATCAACATGTGCTGAGTGGTCATCCGAGACTACTATAATATGAAATATATGGCAGAATGTGAGTAAAATAGAGCCGGAGACGTACAATTTTCCCGCAAGGAGTTCATAAACAAGAAGTGGGCAGCATTATCTCCCATAAATGTAAACAAACTTGTTTGTCTTAGTGATTGGCTGAACGAGAAGTAGGACTGACCTGTAGGCTCTGAAGTTTTGCATTGTTTTGTTTTTGAATGCAGATATGTAACAAAAAAGAAATCTACATTTGTAAGTTGCACTTTCACGATAAAGAGATTGCACAACAGTACTTGTATGAGTATCTTTTTTTATTTAATTGCATGAGTTAACTGCGATTAATCGACAGCCCTAATTTAAACCTTCTGTTTTCCCCTTGGGGAGTCTGGACCCTGGTTTTCACAAGAACATTTTATTGTTTTGTGTGATCTGTACTGCCTTGTGCTTTACGTGATTAAACATAAAGAGCATAAAGTTAGTAGATTGAACAAAGTATTTGTGTTGATTGCTTCACAACTATTGTGTTCCCCCGAGGGAGTTAAACTGTAAACCAGAAGTTTCACACCTTTGGGGTTGAGTTCTGGCTGAGGGGGTGTGTTTAAGTACTGGGCAGTCTGAAATGTCCAGAGGGGCTAGGCAGCTGGACAGTGGGTTCTGACACTCGGAGGGCAGTAACAGATAGAAGGTCTGCACCCTGAGTATGTGCATAGGAACTCTAAGATTGGGGCAGTGGCTGGACTCAGTTCAGACTACAGGAGCTTAAAGCACCCTTTGGATCTGGGGCACTGAGGCCTCAATTCCCCTCACAGTAGTGTTAGTAGGTGGCCAGGAAGGGACTCTCACTAGGATCCATGACACGGGATAGAAGGAACTTGTTAGAGTAAGGGACTTTAAATGATACACAGTTACTTTCTTAAATGTTTAATACACCTTCATGTTTGTGTTTATGTAATTTATGACAAAATTAAAAACCGACTTTTGTGACAGAGGTAGATTTAGGACAATTGAGATAGAAACTTGTTTCTTGCAAAATATCTGATCTTATTAGATAACATCTTGTAATTCTACAAAATAAGATTTTTTTTTTGTAGTTCAAGCAGGGTAAACTATAAGCAAAGTGATCGCTGAATAATCATGTTTTTCATTTGACAGTACTTAACAACAGTCATTCCTTATGAGAAGAAAAGTGGACCGCCCTGTGTTGAAGATCTACAAACATTAACCAAAAGTGAGTAACTATTTAAAACTCTCCTGCTGATCTCATGTCCCATACCTAGTATTGCCAAAAACGAGTGTTCAAAAATCATGCTTTAGACCCCCCCAAAATCATATTACTATTTTTAAGCCATAATACATTTTGGATGGTTCTTGTTTGTCTTCTAGTTTTTGAGTCTCTAGAATGCACTCGGATCATGTTTTCAAGCTTGTCTCTGAAACCCTGAGGGCTAGAAACTTTTTATTTTAACTAAAAGCTGATCTTCTCATGTAATGGCTTGACTTCAGGAGCAGGAGCCCTAAGAAAAATACCAAATATCATGAATGTTGGCAACACTGCTTCCCTGCTCCCTCAAAATATGCTATGTGTACTAATGGGTTTATCAGCAAATTCGTGTTGAATTGAGACAACCATTTATGTAGTGAAGTTAGAACTTTTGAGAATGAGAGTAGATGGGGGAGCTAATTAATTATAGTTGTCAAATAATTGCTATTCAGAGACTTTCAAATCTACTTTTCTTGGCCTAATTTTTCATGTGACAGTTATTTTGGTGTGTACAAATTAGGACACCCTAATGGGATCTGATTTTCACAATGTCTGAAGTGCCCACCCTCTTAAAAGCAGGTCCTTTTAGGGTGTCTGAGTTTGAGTACCCAGAATTACTAAACACTTCTGAAAATGTAAGATCTTATATGCATTTCTGCTGGCAGGAGACATATAAAATTTTCAAATAATAGAACATTTAAACAAAAGTAACTTAGGTACACATTCTTTTCCTGCAATATGCTCCCTTGGCTAGTACTTAAGGTTTGTGTTTAAACTAGCGCTTTCTCACAGTTAACTTCATTTTCTGTTTAATCCTGTAATGAGGTCATAATCCTTTACTTATGACTAAAGCATAGTTCAAAATGTCAAAATTCCAGTAGTAGTCAAGGGGGAGGGGAAGCCAAAAGTCTCAGCCAAATAACTTTTTTCATTAACAACAAAAACGTTTATACAAATGTGTACTGTAAAGAGGTTAGTGTTTTCTGTGGACTTGTTGAAACCTGATCCTATTACTCAGGCTTGGTCAACACTACAGAGATACGTTGAGGTAAGGCAGCTTATATCTAATTACAGGTATGTCAGTGTACACACTACAGCCTTGCTCCCGCCGATGTAAGTGCCCTACTGCACCAACATCATAACTCCACTTCTAAGAAAGGCATAGGACTTATTTTGGTGTAGTTAAGGCAAGGCAGTGTCCATATAGACAGTGTTACTTACATCTGCTGTTGGCTGTCATTCTTGTCAATTTCATGGCTACTTGCTGGAGCCGTGAAATTGACAAGAAAGCCAGACTGACACAGGGTGGGTGGGGGACTCCAGCTAGAGACGGTTGCCTCCTGGGCTCCTAGGCATGCTGTGCCTGACCTGCTCATAGTTCAGCTACCTCACGTCTCCCCACTCCCAGACCAGCTGCTGCCTGGGCTCCCCGCTCAGAGTTGGGCTGTGCCTGCCCAGCTCCCTTCAGGAAGCCCTGGTACTGCACGGAGGCTCCTGCTGCCAGGAGCCTAGCTGCACTCCCGGGCCCTTGGCTCCCCGCTCCTTGCCACAGCTGGGGTCTCAGCAGGGAGCTTCGTGCCTGAAGACCTCGAGCCTCCTGGGGGCAGCCAGGCTTCTGGTGCCAGGGAGCCATGTGCCCATTGGGGGGGTGGCAAGGCTCCTGGTGATGGGGAGCTGCATGTGGAGCTGAGAGGCCTAGATTCTTAGCCTCCCACACTGCCCCTCTTAAATCGGTGGAAGCGCTCCTGGTGAGGACACGCACCACCAACAAAAGGAGGATAATGTGGGCATTAACCACCGTGGTAATTACTGTGATGGTTGTAAGTCGACCTAACGTAGGTCGATGTACGTTTCTAGTGTAAACATGCCCTCAGTAGCAGATTTTCCTGGTTGGCTTCTTGCTTGTGCAATTTTGAGGCAAATATTGAACAGGTTTTTAAAGCTACGAACACTGAATATTTTATTTCAACATAAATATAAATATAGTATTCTGGAATAGTCATATGGTATTATGATTATCCCATGAGCATTCTGGAGCTTATTAAATGCTGCTAGTCAGTAAATGCTGTGCTTCTGATTCTTTCATTCCTCTCGTGTTGAGAACACTTACAGAGAGATATACTTCTCAACATTCTTTAGTTGAATATGGAGCAACAGACGAGCATATGTAAGCCAGGGCAGTTGACAGAGGTTTTTCCTATAGTTAAAGTTCCACTGCTCCAGGGACCGGCAATGGAAATGTCTTTTCTGTATTCTGTGTTTATAAGCCTCACAGCTGCCTATTTCAAAACATAAAACAAACATTGCATGTAAAAGTAGAATCTTCTCATTAATAGTTTGATCTCTTTCGGATCCAACTCTAAATGCTTGCAAAAAAAAGTTCTACAGTTGGCAAGTTAACTAAATTGGGTCCTTTTGCCAGTAGGTTGTTTAGTCTACTGTGGTTCATGGTAGTTGTCTGGCTTTTCAGTGTTATTTTCTTTTCAAATACTGGGGGGGGGGGTTGTTTTTGTTTTTTTAATAATTCATTTCTCACTAATTATTGGCTATCCTTATCGACAGCTAACACTGTTAGCCAGCTTATACAGAGTGAAATTTTTGCACAATCTGAGTGAGAAAGCACTTTGCATTCCTCAAACCATATGAATGTTCCCAAGAGATCTGAAACATTTTCAGAAATAAATGTAGCATCCTCTTGGATAGTAGGAGCCTGCAAAAGTTTTTCTAACATTTTTAGTACTTAAGTAGTATGATGCTTATTCAGTCTGCATAAATTAAATTCCTGTAGGTATGAATTTCTTTCGCATTCCAGGAGTTCCTTCTTGTAATAACTGCCACCGGCTGTAAAACACTAGGTGAAATCCTGATTGCTGAAATAATTCTTATATAAGAGTTGACTTTCAGTATTATTAAATTAAATGTAGTATCTTCACAGTAATGTTTTGCTTTCTAATATTGTTAAGGGATTAGATTAATTTCAACAGTTTTAGCTATCAGACTATTTAACTTTTAACTGAATATTTTGAGTAAATGGAAACCACAAAGACAGCATTTGAACTCCAATATATTTAAGTACCTAATAAAAAAAATTAATACATTAAAATATCTTATTTTTGGCAAAGATTCTGCTATGTCAGGTTTTGCCATATGGGAGGCTATGAAAGATGGGAGTTCGTCTTCATATATGCAAAGAAAAGGTCAGACTTTAATTTCTTATATTTAATATTATGATATGTTACACTCTGAAACACACAGACCACATAGCAAACAGGCAGTTTCCGACCCAATTCATGGTGTTGGTATGTAGACTTTGGATCAGGACATTTTTCAAAGGGATAAAGGGTAGTTAAGCATCTAACTTCCCATTGATATTAACTGCTATTTGTGTCGTTGAAAATTTCTCCCCAATCTTTACTATGGAATTTGAAATTATAGGCATTCTTTTTTTACTTACTTTCACCCTCTTGGTCAACTCTCTCTACCTTTTACCCTCTACTGTAGTTTGATTTTTTTACAACTATTCACCCTTTCTGCTTCTTTAGATCAAAAACTTGTGGCTTCATCTTAGTAGGTTTTTTTTTTTTTTTTAACTAAATGTTTTGAAGACTTGCCCTTTTTTGGGCAAGTGGAGTGTTCACAACCATAACTACAGATTCTTTATTCCAACTCCACATCTTGTCCATCTGCAAATCTGAATGTTTACCCTCGGCAGAAAGCTTGTCTCAAAACAATTCTGTCAAAATCCGTTCCAAATGCAGTCAGGTGTTTGGTATCCTCCCTGGGCCGTGCTTGGAAAAATCAGTTGACGGAACTTTCTCTTCCTTCCTGATGGCTCCAACCCTAATGAAGTTATTAGCTGGGATAGTTCCGTTTTAGCATGTGCCCCTACAGGGATCTTTTCATGTCTAAAGACTGTCAGAGAAGAGAACCACCACATTCTAGGAATGTCAGTATGCTTTCTTGTCTTCCACCTTGTTTCCCAAATGCTTAATTGCTGTGAATGGAGTCCCAGATTCTTCTCCAGTAGATGGGGAAAGGTGAAGTGGGACTGTAATGGCACAATTATTTCTCTAGCCATATCTGAGGGTGAAATAATACAGAATAATACATAACCTGGTGAAACTTACAGAACTTCTGTAGCTGCACAGCTGAAAGTAAATTTGGCCTACTAAAGCCCAGTGCTAGGGGGAATAACATGGAAAAAATACTGAAACATTAAAGGATTTATAATTTCAATATCCTGTTAGAGAGTTTTCCCCATTGTAAAGATCTTGGTTTAAAACTCCAAAACAATATTGATAGCTGCTAAGTGGAATGAGAGATGTTGGTACCATGTTTTCGTGTTTTCTTTACTATTTATATTGATTTTTATAACAAAAGTGCATTGAAATACATGACAAACAAAAACACTTATGTCTGATATGGTTAATCATTTTAAAGAAAAAAAAATTAATAATTCAGTGTGGTTTTAAGAGTCGTCTTATACAGTACTCCTTGACCCAATTCCCTGGCTCTTATGTGCATACACTATAGATTTACGTTAGAATTATGCATATGAAAGGGATGTGGAACAGCCCCCATGTGTCTGCCATTCATTTTTTCAGTATTCCAATTACATATTTTCTAATTGATATGGATGCAATATCCAGATGAGTAGTTAAAGTATCTTTAATGTGGTTGTTCGAGTAACATCTTTAATTTGACTAATGATCTGAATTATTGCTTTTTCTCATCCACCCTTCCCCTCCCATACTTTTCAGTCCTTTATGCTATGAAAGAGGACAGCGAGAAAGTGCCAAGCTTATTAACAGACTACATTTTAAAGGGTGAGTATGTCTGTTAGTATACATGCATTAGCTGGGATCTTTTATTTTAAGTTAATATGAGGTATATTAAATATATGTTTTAAAATGTTGTTCTTGTGGCATTCATGAATTACTAGGTCTGTTATCTTCTAATCAAAGTATGCTTTAATTTTATTTTATGTGCCCAGAAGCCCCTAAGCATGTCGCACCATAAATAAAACATTGTGATGGTAATTTATTTTGAGATGGTCTAAAGCACATTACAAGAGCGCCATAGGATATCATAGTATCAAAACCAAATCATTTAAGATCTAGTATACAAAGTAAAATATGAATAGTTCAAAATGTATTAGGTTTTTCTGAAACAATGAACTACTTAAATAATCTGTGGAAATGATGCACATTGCTGATACAGGGCTTGTAGATTTGTATAAATTTGAAATTTTCCTTCTGATCACTAGTAAATATAAGAACAGCCATACTGGGTCAGACTAATGATCCATCTAGCCCAGTATCCTATCTCCTGACAGTGGCCAATGCCAGGTGCTTCAGAGGGAATTAACAGAACAGGTAATCATCAAGTGATCCATCCCCTGTTGCCCATTCCTAGCTTCTGGCAAACAGAGGCTAGGGACACTTCAGAGCATGGTTTTGTATCTCTGCCCATTCTGGCTAATAGGTCCATCAGTGGCTATCTTCCACAAACAATGTCCTTGGATATTTTTCTTTATTCTGTCTGGTTCCATTTAAAATTAAAAGGTTTGAGTGTACTTGCTGTATATTTTCCAGTGCTATACATTGTCTGATTTTCAGTGTGTCAGGCAATGGGGATAATCATTTACCTTGAAAAACAGTTCCACAGTCTAATAGAGATCATCATAAGGATTCTAGACATTTCACCTGAAATTGCATTCTTAGTTCATTCCATCACTACTAGTTATTTCATTTTAAATCATTTCTCTCCCTTAGTTATCATGCTCCACTTCATTTTTGAACTAAACTATACAATGCACGTTTAGTGTAGTTAATCCCTTCGTTACTTATTTGGGTTTTTTCTCTTAAACTCCCTCCAATTTGTCTGTATCCAGGCTGGCTCCAGGCACCAGCGGAGCAAGCTCGTGTTTGGGGCGGCAGATTCCAAGGGGTGGCATTTCATCTAATCCTTATATATATATATATATTTTTTGCGCTTCACCGCTTTGGCCGCCCCTGCATGTTTTTTCTTTTTGGTTTGCTGCTCCCGCCGCCGTGTAGGGGGCGGAGGAGGGCAGCACCCTGCAGCAAGCTGGGAGGGCAATCCGCGTCCTTCCCTGCCTGCCGACCGGAGCGGCGCGGAGCCCTCCCAGCAGGAGGCGCCCGCGGAGGGGCCGCGTGGCAGCACCCCACTTAAGGAAGCCCTGGGGGCCCCCCTTCTCTCCCCCCTCACCCTCCCCCCTCCCCCCCCGCTAGCCGGGGTGCGCACTCCGCTGCCCCGGGTCTGCAGGGCCAGGAGTCCCCCTGCACCCACGCTCCCGCCGCCCCGCAGGTATTTTGTTTTT